TGAGGACCTGCTGGGCACTGGGACACCCCCAGGGCCAAGGACCGACTGGACCAAGAAACATGGTGTTGGGGCTGGAAGTGGGTAGGGAGATGGCATAGGAAGGAAAGAAACTTCCCCCAAGTCTATGTCCACCTCCACCCCAAATACCAAGAAAGGGGCCCTTGATGTTATAATTAGGTATGTTTGGATATACTATCACAACTTAGGGAAACAGCCCTACAGACAGGGGATAAGCTGGAGCTCGGGGGATCTACCTCCAAGTAACAGGCAGCCCTGGGGACGTGCAGGTTTGACAGCGGAAGTGTGTGGTGGGCCGGGCCGCCTCTCAACGGTGCCTTATCCATGACATCTGAACTAAGGCACGTTCTGGCCAACGCCTGAGAATCCAAAGAAAAGCCCAATTACAGTCAACTGATTCCACATGGAGATTTTATTCCAATCACCAATTGGCTGTCTTAAGCTAAATACCAAATTGAAAGAGGAAATATAAAGATTTTTTGGGGGGGAGGGGGAAATGTGAGGTAGCAAATACAAAGAAAGTACCTATACTTTCCCCAAATGTCTAGAATTTTAGTAACTGTCTTAGTAAACACGTATATCTTCCATAACACTCAGAAAACTGAAAAATGTTTAAAATATTTGTAAGAACTAAAAATGCCTTGGGTTCACTTTATGCCTAGTATTCAACCCTTAGAAATGGATTTCTGATAGACCTGGATAGAAGGTTTGATTGTTTCATAATTAATGTAAGAAAAGCATCAGCTTCTCAACAGCAAGATAAGCAAATGCTAAAATCAGCCAAGAAAATAACTTTTTAGAATAAGGGCCCTGTCTTTAAAAAAGTCGTAGCCAAAGCCATGTTAAGTGATAGTCTCTTAGGAGTGATTTATGAACAGAAATTGTACATTTGCACGAATTGTACAGGATAAAGTCAAAACAGAGTTTACAACCTCATGCTACCAGCCTGATTTAAAATGGATAATCTTTCCTATATTTTCCCCAAAGCGCCTTTGAAAGGGCTCACTCTGCTATCCAAACAACTTGCAAATGCACTCGGTCAGCCAGGCCACAGTATTTATTCCCTTTCCTGTTATTGACTCCACATCTATTTCTCACTATTTGCTCTGTGCTCATTCTTCTGCCAAATAAAATATTAATTGCATTTTTAGCTGCACTGCTGGTGATCTAAGAACTCTGATATGTCAAGCTAACCTGATAGAAATAGCATCCATTAACATATTTATAGGTTCAGAGCTTCTAGAACATAATTATATCCATTAATTACTTGGCAGTACTCTATATTATAGGTGGAAAAAGGCATTTGCAGCTACAATAGTTTTACTCAGAGTGAAGTTTTTTTGTAACAATAAATTTCCCCTAAAGAGTCTATCTGAAGGGGAGAAGGCAAGAGGGCCACATATCTTGAAGGATATAGGGAGGATTTTTAATGCAACATTCACTGATTTGCAACAGAACACACATACAGTGAATGAGGCATCACAGCCAGAGTGATTTCAAAGAAAAGCATACTTTAAATATTACAGAGAGATTTAATTAATATTTTAGAGTTCTAAGAGAGACCATCTCAAGCCAATAATTTCTAATGATAGATACAGAGCAATCATTCTTCCTTTCAAATAAACTTCAGGTACTAGACAGGACCACAGCATCCTGAATTACCTACTTTTTTGAACATGCAATTCTAACATGTAAAAGAAATTAAAGCTGTCCTGGGAAAAAGCTCTTGAGATGTTGGAAATTAGCAGAACAAGCAGTTATTCTGTGGTCACCAGTGGTGTGAGCCCTGGGGCTGTCTCTATGGTCAGCAGGAGATGGACAGGAGTGTGCCCTGACTCCTCGGGACCAGTTAATCAAGTGCAAAATGACAGATTCCCAGAACAACTTCAGCCCCAGACCCAAACACATTCTCTGCTTTTAGCAAAGGATGAAGTCATTAAAAAAAAAAAAAAAAATCACACAAGCAGTTTCAAGGTTTCAGCATGAACACAGCCTGGGTGTAGGGGAGCGGCAGACTGGCTCTATCTGCACAGGCACCCACAGGCATTTCACCAGGTGCTCTGCTGCCTGACAGTAAATTACAAAGCAGTCATATTCGAGACTGTGTTTACAGGGCACTGCGACAGACTCGCGGAGTGAATGACAAGGAAAGCACCATACCTTTGGTGAGTCGCCTCAGAATCTGACAGCGGCATTTGAAGGAGACGGCTATCATTCTCGCTCACCACGGCTGTGGCCCGGCGTGCTCAGGGCTCTGCTCTGGTGGCCACCGAGGCAGCGGTGAATTCCTCGCACACATCCAGGAGGAGGTAGTCCCAGCGGGGAGTGACAGAGCTTAATTCCTCTTGGCTGATGCAGGGGTCCGCGACATGTCATCTGGCAGAGCTGGCCACTCACCACTACTACCGCCCTGCCTACCTCCTCCCGCCTCAATCACAATGGCTAGAAAGTGATCCCGTCTCGATAGCAACAAAGCCACATTGTGCAAGGCAGGGACGGGCGGGGAGAGCAGCCATTCTACAGCTCTGACGCTGGGCGCAGAGCGGCTCCTCTGTTTCAGGCAGAGGGTTGTGCTCTCCAGTCTGTACCCACCCACCCCCACCCACCCCCAGGTCAAGTCTGTGTCCTTTGAACACTTACTTAACGGAAATGCAAGTGAGATGCTGGCACTGTTACTTCAGGAGGACATGTGTGTCACAGACCAGGTTCTTTTAACAACCACGAAGGAGGAAGATGGGCAGGCAGCCTGCCCCTGGGATTCAGGAGGGAGCATGTTTTGCCTATAGGAGGGAGGCAGCCCTGTGCTGGGGTCAGAAAGACCCACATGGCACATTGCAAACCGTGGTCCAGCTGTGCAGGCTGCAGATGGAATGAAAGAAGGAAGGACTGAGGGGACGGGTCCAGCAAGGCAGACCAGGCGGATGGAGTCCTGGCCCCTTTAGTAATCACCCTTTCCAGAAAAGCACTTGGCCGGAGAGCAGCACAGTCACAACTGTTTCTACAGATACCAGAAATAAAAGCTAAGCATTTCTATTTTTAATGCACCCCATTATTCTACTTCCCAAACAGCCCTCCCCAAGACCATTCTTCTCCCTATGCAAATAAAACAGTCTTGTGACACGGCTGATATCTGAGTATTGGCTCCAGTGTAGTGAGCAGCAAATACACAAAGCTTCCAGCCCACTCCCAGGGTCCCAAGAAGGCAGAGTGCGTTTCCCTGGCTGCCAGCCCTGGCCTGCCCACTGTCCAGTTACTATAAATGAGCAATTGGCCCGGGATTTCAGTGAAATCCAGACGCCTCCACTGGAGTTAGCACAAACATTCAGGGGGAAAAAAATCACACAGTTGGCCAGGAACTTTAATTTAAAAAGAAATCAATTAGTCAAAATGAAAAGATATATCACTGTCTCAACTATTTGATTAATATTTCTAGGATTTTATGAATTATTCATACAGATTTATCCTCTACTCCTCAGGCTTCAGAAAAAAAAAAACTTTCCAGCTGGTTTCTAAAATAATTTGCTATGTTCCAAGTTTAGTGACAGAGCTTTCTCTTCATTCATAAGTTCCATATTAACTCAGGCAATCCAATCTACTGATGCTAAAATCACGTATTTTCTATTTTGCATCTAACAGAAAAATAATTTGCGCATGAACAATAGCTGCATATCACACATATCTACCGTCAAGGTTTTTGAAAAGGATTCCTGTACCAAGGATGGTCTAGCTACAGCAACTGGCACCACCATTTGAGGGGAAGGACTATGTAAATGAATCACAGAATCTAATGTTTACAATTGTTCCCATCAGCATAAATGTTTTTTTTTTAATTTGAACCCATTTTCATCTGTATTCGGCCATTCCTATAAATATCTTAACTTCCTTGATATGTTTTGCTCTAAATAAAAATATGCCTTAGAGGTAGAGAATTGAGTTATTAGCCAAAGTGAGATAAATATTTATGGTTAGCTCTTTGCAAGACCCTTCCCCCAAATCTAACATCTTTCTTAAAATCCAAGCACTCAGAACATGCAGCTGTCAAACTGCCTCAGTAAAATCTTGCCTGTGGGTCATCCCACTCCAGCCCATTTCATTAATGTCTAGTCAAATAAAACTCACAGTCCTACCGGAATCTTTGCCCCTCTGCTATTATGTAGACTCAGATCTAATTTGCTTTTTCCTTAAGGCTAAAATGATCAAATATTTCCACCTTTTACTAGCACACCCCAATTTTTTTTTAAAGCTCTGTTCTCTGGTACCAAGAACAATCTTCAGAACTGCTACTATTTTTTTCTGGCAGGGAAATAGCCCCCCTGGTGCTCTCTGAAAGGTCTCTGAGACCCCCAACAGGAGAGTTTTGTTTTCTCTTTGGATACAGTGGCTGCCAATCTGCCTCTGTCCTGCCAGCCAGTTCTGGCTCTGCTCCTGGAGTAACTCTCTTCTGAAAATGAAAGAATCTGCCAGCTATTTCCACCTTCCTCCCTTCTGGGCTTCTCTCCTTCCAGAGATTTCCCTGGAAGCTGGCCTAAGTCCAGCCTCTTGCCCTAAGCCTTTTATCCTCCTTTTGCTTAACAAAAGCTTAGCCGCAAGTCCTGAATCCCTGAATCCCAGCGCTCAGGAAACGCCTTCTAGCAGTACAAGTCCCTGTCTCAAAATCTGCTGGCCTGCAGGACAAAGGTCCCAAGTGGTCAGTCACTGGTGGAACCAGACCACCGCTTCCTAACAGGAGCCACCACTGGGACAAGTGACCTACATTTTTGGTTCCCAAATTTCATATTTAATAAAAAGCATGTGTCCTCCAACCCCACAATCTGAACGTTATTTATCGTGGCTCAGCTGTCCAGAAGCTCAGGCTTCAAAACATGTTCCCCAAGGGCCACCAAGTGAGGCTGTGGAAATCCGAAGCAGGTAAAATGGTACCAAACAGACATCTGTGTAAACTCCAGAATGATCCGGAGAAGACTGAGAGTCAGTTCAGTAGCTTTGTCTCTCTCTAAAAACAAAACACCCCCCCCCCATCAATATACAAAAACATGGCTGGCTGGATTGAGGGCAGATTAATCCCTTAAAATAATTCTTATTTCAAGCCCAGGCTTGGTGGCTCATACCTCTAATGCCAGCACTCTGGAAAGGCCAAGGCAGGTGGATTGCCTGAGCTCAGGAGTTTGAGACTAGCAAGAGTGAGACTCCGTCTCTAAAACTAGCCAAGTGTTGTGGTGGGTACCTATAGTCCCAGCTGCCTGGGAGGCTGAGACAAGAGAATTGCTTGAGCCCAGGAGTCTGAGATTGCTGTGAGCTGTGACTCCACAGCTCTCTACTGAGTGCGACACAGTAAGACTCTTATCTCAAAAAAAAAAAATTCTTATTTCAGGGTTCCTTTAAAATATTAGCTTTGCTAAGGCATAAAACAAGTGTACTATGTTTATATAGAATCTCATAGATTACAAAGGGCTCTCACAGGTACACATCTTTACAGCGACTGTGTTACAGGTTTTTGTTCGCCTGAGAAATGGTTTCTCAGAGAGGTGCTTTTGTTAGGTCACTCTGCTAGTGACTGGTAATCACAGAGCAGGAGACCCAGGGCTCCTCGCCCTGCTGCTGTCTTCCTAGTTAGTCTTTGCTTCCCTTGTGGCTCATAGAAAACAGGACAAAGTCGATGAACAAAGAACTTTTAAGAGCAGCTTTATTACGAGAGGAGGTGGACCTGCTATCTCTCTTCTCCCTGACTGTGCCCAGGTTCTTCTGAAGCACAGACAATGGGTTAAGACCCACTCTGCCCACCAGAAACCAGACTTAAGAGGCAGTGCCGATGGGCGTCACTGGCACCAGACCATGCCTGCCAGTGGCTTACTGAAAATCCCAACCAATTTGACAGATTTCCACTCTGAGGGGCTTGTGTCCGTGTCACAGCTGTTTTTAAATATTGTGAGTGTCACTTCCACTATAGTGTGGCACTAACTTTATTATAAGAAGGGTACTGGTTGGGGTGTATGAAAAAAAAAAACTCTTATGATCTGTTCAAAGATGCCAATATGTCCTCAGAATCAAAGTGTTTCACAGAAGCGTTAGCTGAGTAACACTTCCACCCCCAAAACAAACACTGCTGTTTGCAGTCTTCTGATTCTTAACAAGAAGGAACCACCATAAACTCAGTTTCCTGCCATCTACCTACACCTGGGAATTCATTTTAAAATAGAGAAGAGAACAAAACAAAACAAAACAAAGAAGGCAAGTCCACAAATATATATCCCCCATTTCATGTCATCAGAATCAATTTGAATAGAGTCTAAAACAATTGTGCTCTCTGCCTCATTCCAACTTAGCTCATAGATCTGTTACAAAGCATACTGATACATCCAATTTGTTCACCGATTTATTTCAATATTACCTTTGTTTTTCTTTGAAAGAAAAGTTACTAATACCTCCCTTTTTACTTTGCTTAGAAATGCTTAACATACTTAGGTCATTATTTTATTTTATAGTTTATTTATTTAATTTCATCATTTTATTTTATTTTTTACTTTGTTTTTTTGAGACACAGTCTCACTTTGTCACCCTCAGCAGAGTGTGGTTGCATCATAGCTTACAGCCACCTCAAACTCCTGAGCTCAAATGGTCCTCCTGCCTCAGCCTCCTGATTAGCTGGGATTCTGGTATGAGCCACTGGGCATAGCCTTAGGTCATTATTTTAGACAGCACAGGATACCTGACTTGGCTAATATTGAATATGCGGATTTCTCCCCTACTGGCATTTTTCAACTCTTTGGGGTATTTTAGAACACAGTGTTCTCAGAGGTCTAAAAACATGACCTCTGCCCCTTATTACAGCTCTGTATGGACAAACTCACTGACACATCCTGAGCTTACTATAATCAGCTGTTTTTATTTTCTTTTTCAAAGATGCTGAAAGCACCTGTGAGCCTCAAACATGTGATAGCTCCTGTGACCACTGTCTGCTACTTGATTCATGGAGAGGGTCGACATGAGGCCACACACTGGGGCAGGCAGGGACAGGACGGATGACGGCACACAAAGCAAGACCGGGTTTAGTGTAATCGTCCAAGACAGAATTTATTAGGGTCTGTTTAAAGCAAATAGTTTATGAGAAAATATTTCTGTAGAAGTAATGATGCCCTTTAGGGAGCGTCATTAGGACAGACGCTTGCAAGTCTGCGGTGATTAAAAAGCACTTAGCAGCTCTGAGCCTCTGGTGTGTGGTGCATAAGGAGGGTGTAAGGCACACACTGTGTTTCCACTTATCTGGTCCGGGCTCTGATGCTGGTCATGGTGTCAGGGAAAGAAGGTCACCTGCACCTAACATGAGAAGCCCAGAAAGTTCCTTAAGAACCTTGGAAACTCATCAGCTGAAGGCATCTGATGGGGATGTTAAGGAACAGAGTAGGAATCGGGAAAGGCAGTGCAAGAGGAAATCTCCAA